GAAGCGTGAACGTCTGGCGGATGCCGTGCTCCGCACAAAAGGCTGCCAAGAGGTCTGCGGAGAACTCACCACCTCTGTCAGAGTGCAGACGCAGGACAGGAAAGTCCGACTGGAACCGCTCGCGGAGCTGGAGACGAACAGCGCGGATCCAGGGGATCAAAATATCAGGGACATCCCCCTTGCGCTGCAAGGGGAAGACCGTGGTGTAACGCGTGTAGTCGTCGACGACCAGCAGGAAGTACCGCTCGTGGCCCTGTCCACGGACGCGGGCTGGGCCCCACACGTCCAGGTGAAGAGTCTGCAAGGGAGCCTCTGTGGGAGGGAACGAGGTGGAGTGAGGAGCGGCGCGCTGCCGCCCCTCGACACAGGGAAGACAGGGAGGAGCAGGCGAGGGTGGGAGGGGAGGGAGAACCCTGGGAAGACCAGAGACAAGGACACGGCAGTGCATGCTACGAAGGCGCTGCACCGAGGGGTGACCAAGGCGGTGGTGCCAAAGGAGGGTCTGGTGCGACAAAGCGCGGCACAAGCAGGGGGCCACTAGCTGACCTTACGCAGACGCAGACGCAGCGACTTGAGGGGACACAGTAGTCAGTGTGTACAAACTCGAGCCAGGCGCACGGGTAAACGTGGCCAGGTGTCGGCCCGTCCGGGAGCACGTACAGTGGGTCACGCGCTGACCTCCAGGAGTGAACTGGTCAACCCACTGGTCCTGGAGGTCAGCACCACTCACCAAGTTCGTAGAGAACGAGGGGAGGTGAAGACCTGACAGGGAGCCAGACGGGACCGCCGGACACGGCAGGACCGTGGAGGAGTGCGCAAGGACTGGACCCCCAGAGGGGTCTGCCAGGGAGACTGGAACCGGCCGGCTGAGCGGCGTGAGGGTGGTGCTGTCACGAAAGAAGGAGCGGGAAGCACCTGAGTCAAGTGTGAAGGTGTACAAGGCCTCAGCAAGCGCAGTACCAGAGAGAGCAGACTCACCAGCACCTGGAGCAGCAGCCTCACCAGCACCCAGAGCAGGAGACGCACTAGCACCTAGAGCAGCAGCCTCACCAGCACCTAGAGCAGGAGACGCACGAACACCTAGAGCAGCAGCCTCACCAGCACCGAGAGCAGCAGGCTCTATACATGGGTCAGGCGGTACGCACAGGTAACAGGCACGGTCAGCACTAGTAGGCAATGCATACATGGCAGTGAGAATAACATCATAGTCAAGAGCAAATATATCTACCCTCTGCCCAAGCAGCTCCACCCAGTCGGGGAGCTCAGCCTCGTCGCCAAACTCGGTACGCCAGGCGTCGCTCAGACGGGCGAAGCAGCGGGACTGTGTGTGACTAAGCGTCCCGCAAGCCTGACCTGTCCAATCACCTGTGCGAATGACGTACGGGCAGCGAACGGTACTTAAAGACCCTCTACTCTGAGCGTACCACTCACGAAGCTGCTGGGGCGTAAGTGTCTCGCGCGGACGCCGCTGCAGCTGCAGCTGGCCACTGCCAGACGCTCCCGACTGACCAGCTCCAGGGCGACAGCCACGACGGCTACCGCCACAACCCCAACTAGCGTACCACTCACGAAGCTGCTGGGGCGTGAGAGACTCGCGCGGACGTCGCTGGAGCTCCATCTGGCCACCGCCAGTAGCAGCAGTAGCAGTGGTAGTGGCAGTAGTAGCAGCAGCAGCGCGGGCAGGGCAGGCGCGGCAGGCAGGTAGGCAGGTAGGCAGGCAGGCAGGCAGGCAGACAGGCAGGCAGGCAGGCAGGCAGGCAGGCAGGCAGGCAGGCAGGCAGGCTGGCAGGCAGGCAGGCAGGCAGGCAGGCAGGCTGGCAGGCAGGCAGTGCGCTAACAAGGCAGGTGCTCACCAGTGGCAGGAAGAGCAGGCGCTCGTCGGGCGAGCAGGGCCGGCGCTCGGCGGGCGGCTGCACAGGGTCCAGGGGCGGCGTCGCGGGTCCAGGGGCGGCGTCGCGGGGTCCAGGGGCGGCGTCGCGGGGTCCAGGGGCGGCTGCACGGAGTCCAGGGGCGGCTGCACCAGGGGCGGCTGCTTCAGGGGCCAGGGGCGGCTGCTCTGGGTCCAGGGGCGGTTGCTCGAGGGTCCAGGGGCGGCTGCACCAGGGGCGGCAGCTGTAGGGGGCAGGGGCGGCTGCTCAGGGTCCAGGGTCAGCTGCTCGAGGGTCCAGGGGCGGCTGCACCAGGGGCGGCTGCTGTAGGAGCCAGGGGCGGCTGCTCTGGGTCCAGGGGCGGCTGCTCGAGGGTCCAGGGGCGGCTGCACCAGGGGCGACTGCTTCAGGGGCCAGGGGCGGCTGCTCTGGGTCCAGGGGCGGCTGCTCGAGGGTCCAGGGGCAACCGCGGCGCGCGGGGCCTGAAGCGCGCAGCGCGAGCTGCAGGCGCGGCGCGCGAAGCCGCCGCGGGCTGCGCGAGGACGGCAGCCGCGGGGCGCGGGGCTGCAGCGCGACGTGCGGGCAGCTGACGCGACGCGCGGGGCTGCAGCGCGACGCGCGAGGCTGCAGCGCGACGCGCGGGGCTGCAGCACGCAGCGCGGGCTGCGGACGTGGCGCGCGGAGCAGCAGCGAGCCGCGCGCGAGCTGCTGCAGGGCGGGGCCAGGTGGGGCCGCGTCAGTGGCAGGTCGTGGCCGCGAGGAGGGGCGGCGCTCTGGCCTGACGGGCCTGCAGGGGCGGCTCGCGGGCCTGACGGGCCTGCAGGGGCGGCTCGCGGGCCTGACGGGCCTGCAGGGGCGGCTCGCGGGCCTGACGGGCCTACAGGGGAGGCTCGCGGGCCTGACGGGCCTGCAGGGGCGACGTGCGGGCCGTACGAGTCTGCAGGGGCGGCGCGCGGGCCTTACGGGCCTGTAGGGGCGGCGCGCTGGCCTAGGGCAGCAGTAGGGAGCGTGAGGGCTGCAGGACGGCGCGCGCAGCGCAGCACGTCACAAGGCAAGGCAGGCAACACGTGGGGTAGCGTGGTAACCGCAACGGTAGGTGGGCCCGGAAAAAAAAGACGGTCCTACGGACCTAGTGCTCTGAAACCATGTTAGAAACTAGCAGCAGGAATGAATGAACTATGAAAGGGTTGGGTACAAGTATGAAACCCTAAAAGGGGCTGTACCTTATATTGGCTACCCCACTACAGCCTAAACATATATAGCATGTATATATACTTTGACATAGGGAACCCGCCAGTCGTTCTCGCATCCGAACTCGCCGCAGCAGAATAAGGTCGCTGAGTGTTGCATTTGCTTAATCATGTAGATCACCCGTACCCCCATGATTCATGCCAGTGTCCCCCCCCCCCCACCCCCCCCCCCCCCCCCTCCCCTCCTCTCTTTGGGCCTTCGCATTCTGCTACACCGTGCACTTGCTTAACATGTGCCCCCATGTCTCATGCCCGCAGGTTCCGCTAACCCCCCTCTGGATGGAGGTCACCTAGTTATGCGTCAACGCCAGGGCTGATTTTATCAGGGTAATTACCCTGATTTCAGGGTGATTCCAGGCTTTCCACTTTGTGGAGACGGAAATTTCAGAGTTATTGAATTTTCAGCCCTGATCCAATCAGAGTAATAGTTTAGCTATCCCTGATTTTGAGTACATTGTAACAGACTAGGCTGTTAGTGGACCCTGACTTAACAGAGTATCGACTCTGTGGACCCTGACTTATCGAGAGGAAGTTTCTCAGAAGTTTCCCTCCGATGACCTCGCCTTGGATTGATCGCAGTGATCCCCCCACATGTGTGTAATCCCCCCCCTTCCCGCTTTATCGAGAAGAAGTTTCTTCGAAACTTCGTTCTGATACACCTACCATCGAGATCGCGCGAATCTGCAATGTCAGATATACTTTGCTGGGATTGGTCGAAATAGGCTCTGACAGCGGAAATTTTTGACTCGAACAGGTGTGACTCGCCCGTTCGGTCGTTACACACGCTCCAGAAGGAACGCCTCTGAGGGTGACTAACTACAGTCGCAGCGTGTCTGATGCATGCCATCTGAAGAGATCCGATTGGGCATGGTAAGACAGGGAAACGTTACACTCGCACACCAGATAGGTCAATCACACCCGCCCTGCACAAATCAGTCGAGTGTACAGCCAGCGGGAAACACAGCGCGCAGACTTTATGGATGGTGGGGATTTTCTCCCCGGTAACAAAGCGCGCGTTACTACTCTGATGTTCAGTTCTTGACCCTGAACAATCAGAGTTAACTACTTTACAACCCTGAGCAATCAGGGTACTGCTTTTCTGGAAAATGTGCACCCATAATAGAGGGGGAAAATTTTCCCCGGAATCAGGGAGGCTTAAAATGAAACGTCAGCCCTGGTCAACGCTTTGCGTCGAGGGTTGACTTGCTACCACCCTTCCTCTCACCATTTTTTTAGCTTGTGCGAGGTCTCTTTTGACGAGTTTGTCTCTTTTTACACTCGCACCATCGCTCTCACTCAGTCACAAATGGTGCAGCATATCCTACGGTATAGTGCTCCGGCCTTTCTCCTCTGCACAGCCCACTCCTCTACCTGTTGGCGATACGTTCTCGGCCCCTGTCCTTGACAAGCCTGTTGAGCCCAGTGGTCTGTCCACAGAGCTGATGGGGTGCCTCAAATCCTATCTAGAGGCAAGGGTGCCTCATGTACCTACCGTCATCGCCCGGATATAAGACAGTGTTGAATAGTAGACAGGGGTTGTCTACTATACGGGTGTCTCTTATAAACAGGCTAGCCTTTTTATACGACACCTATTTGTGTGTACGAGTTAAAACATATATGTCTTATAATCAGAACCGGGGTTTAGGGGTTTTCTTATAAACAGGGGGTGTCTTCTAAACAAGCCTTCTTTACTTTAGGGGGGTACATGCATACATTCATGAATCTCTACTTCTACCTAACCCCCCTCAATCACCGCCTCCTCGCCTGCGCTAACAACAGGCTCTACACCCAGGTCTGGCACTCGCCAGGCATGCCTAGCCGTCTCCCTAGGCTCGATCATGCGGTCAGCCTCGGCCGCCGCCCCGCGGTAGTTGGGGGTCTCTTAGTACAGCACCTCCAGGCCGGTTGCCACTGCCACCTCCCGCACGCCCTCCGCCTGCATCGCCTCCTCCTCCTCCTCCTCCTCCTCCTCCTCTGGAGCCCGACCGAGCAGGCGCGTGTTGTTGCCTGTGGTCCCCCCGAGGGACATGTCCGCGGAGACATCAGTGGTGCTCCTGGCGCGCAGGTGAGACATCACCAGGTGGTTCTCCGTTCCGTCCAGCTTGCTTGAGATCCCACAGTGGCGGAACGCGTCGATGATGATCTGCTTGGGGACTTGATCCCAAGCCTCCGCGATCCACTGCAGCACCACGGGGTGCGGCGGCCTCCGCAGGTTCCCTGCGGGTGGGTTTGAGGACGGGGCAGCGAGATGTTAGAGACACGGACATGAAGGAGCATGTTTAAGACAAGGACAGGAAACAGAACATGAATAATACCGTAAATGAAGGACCAACTCACCCTTCTTCGTCTTTAGGTGAATCCCCTCACGCATGAACCACCTGGCGTAGCGCGCTCGCACAACAGCCTTGAAGCACCGGTTGATTGAGACGTCCAGGGGTTGAATCTGGCTCGTACAACCCGCTGGGATGACTGCAGGGGTGATGCTGTGCGTGCGGTATGACTGAAGCATGGTCTGGGTGATGTGACCGCGGTAGGAGTCCAACACCAGCATCGCACGCCTCGCGTTCTGGCCGCGCTGGGGGTTCAGATGGGGCAGCACCTCCTTGGACAGCCAGGTCTGCACAGCGCTCTCGTCCATCCACCCGTTGTCCTGTGCTTGGACCACGATTCCTGCCAGGCACACAAGGGACAGACGGGCTTCAGCACAGTGGGGCACGCTCATCAGGCAGTCGCACGGTTGAATTCATTACGCTTACCTTCCGGAATCTCACAGTTGGGGACGTTCTTCATCTTGAACCACACCCACGGCCGCAGCTTCTCCCCGGATGCAGTGCACGCGAGCATCACCGTCAAGCGCGTTTTCTGGTAGCCTGCAGTGCGGATTGGGACCGAGCGCGCGCCGCGGTGCTCGATCGTCCGTTCGGCTGGCATCTCCACGGATAGTGGAGTCTGGTCCGCGTTGATGATGCGGGCCAGGTCGATGTTGTGCCGCGCCCTGTTGATGCGCACGAACTTCCAGAAGGACTCGCAGTCCTTCGCGCACTCTGCAAACGGTACACGCGCAACGGAAACACGGGATGGTCAGACACTGGGTGAGGGACATGCATTCAATAGCCCGCGCGCGACACGAATTCCTTCAACACGCACCTGCCGACAGTCGTTGGCCGACCTTGGTCTTCACCCGCATCACCAGGTTCCAGCGGTCACGGAAACGCTGGCTCCAGTGAGAGCTCGCGTTCCAGTTCTTGCCGGCGTGATGCTTCTTCATCCACTCGCGGCTCCACTTCTGGGTGTCCTTCACCGAGATGGCCACCCCGTTAGCGCGCTGAAGGCAGATGTAGCGGTACAACGCTGCCTCCATGTCGGGGTAGTGTGAGTGGCGCCCCCCCCCCCGTGCATCCGCTTGCGGCAGTTAGCCGCGCCCTTGTAGACGCCCGCAGCCGCCTCCGCACTCCAGCGTCTGATGCAGGCGATGGACGCGGTTGACTCCATGCTCGTCTTCTTCAAGGAGCCGAGCTCCAGATAGCGGCGCGCCCACTTAAGCTTCTCACGCACGGTCCAACTGCGGCGCTTCCTCGTAGTGTCCTTGCTGCGAGGGGAAGGTGGGCGGGTGTTGGGATTATGGAGGGTGGGGTCCTTCGGCGTGACCTTCTCAGGGAACGTGGGAATCGGGCCCGCCGCCGCCGCGACGGCAGCGCTCGTCTTCTGTTCTTGGCTCGAGTTGTGAGGCTGAGATCTACGCCGGGGCCATGGCTGCACAGGAGCTTCGCTGGCTCACCTACCTGCTGACCGACCTTGGAGAGCCGCCTCGTTCTCCTCCAGTCCTGTACGTAGACAACAAGGCCATGCTGGCCTTGTGTCGAGAGCAGCGACTGGAGCACAGAACAAAGCACATTGCTCTCCGCTACTTCCTTGCTCGTGAGCTACAGCAACGTGGTCAGTTGCGGCTTGCGTACGTGGCCTCTGAGGCCAACACTGCTGATGTCTTCACCAAGGCACTTCCGCCTTGTGATCATCAGCGCTTCTGCACTCAGCTGGGTCTTGTGCCCGTCTTGCCTCACTTGCTCTCCTCTTGACCTTGCCTGTACTCTCACATATATATATACCTGCTCTTGCTTGTCTAGCTTTATATATATGTGTGTACTCTTGCATGTGAACTGGCCGTGTGGCCTTGACCCTGTGCTCGGACTGTGTGGTGACTTTGTGATCCACCCTGAGCTTGCTTTGCTTTACTTTGCTTGACTGGTCTTGTGACCCCTTGTTCTCCCCCACTTTGCCTATGGGGGTGTGTCAGAACATTATAGCTTATGCTGTTGTGTAGGCTATAGTGGGGTATCCCATAGGGGGTACAACCAATTAGGGTTTCATATTTGTACTCACTTCATTTCATAGTTCATCCATTCTTGCTCAAATCTTCTCACTCGGGGCATTTCGGAGTAGAAAAAACACGGCAGCAGCTGCAGCGGTATTATTACTGGCCCGAAATGTTGACCGACGTACAGCGACACGTGGCATCGTGTCCCACTTGCCAGCTCATGAAGTCATCAAGGCAGTGGCCGGCAGGACAGTTGCAGCCGATACCACCCCCAGAGCGTGCTTGGCAGCAGGAGACGATGGATTTCGTCACGGGGTTACCGGCCGGGGCGAGTGGAAACGACGCGATCCTGGTCGTCGTCGATCGACTGACGAAAATGGCACATTTCGCAGCCTGCAAGAAATCGATCACAGCCGAAGAAACAGCCCGCCTCTTCATCGCCACCGTCGTACGCCTGCACGGGATACCAGCAGCGATCATCAGCGACCGAGACACGAAATTCACCAGCAACTTCTGGCGGAACCTGTGGCAGCAGTTTGGCACGCGACTACAGTTCAGCTCTTCGTACCACCCCGAAACGGACAGACAGAACGGACAAATCAGACCATGGAACAACTCATCCAAGCCACGTGCGACGACCCGACCACCTGGGAACAGCAACTGCCACTCATCGAGTTCGCGTACAACAATTCGCCTTCCGCCACGACCCAACAGTCACCGTTTTACTTGAACTACGGACAAGACCCAACAGTACCCATGACCCCTAATCCCGACAACCCAGTCCCACGAGCACAACAGTTCGCCGAAATATTACAAGCAGCACGTACCCGGGCAACAGACGCAATAAAAAAATCGAGCATCGTCGCTAAACGCAACGCCGACCGCCACCGCAGACCTGTCACTTACCAGCCCGACGACCTAGTTTTACTTGACACCCAGAACCTCCGCCTGCCCATCACCCCAAAACTTCGTCCCCGATACTGTGGACCATTTCGCATCAGCCACATGATCACACCCGTCACCGCCCACCTCCTCCACCCCGCTGACTGGTACGTCAGCCCCTCGTTCCACATCAGCCTGCTTCGCCCCTACGTCCCGTCCACAAGCCAACTCCCACGAAATCGCCCAGCCAGCATGACACGACCGCTGACTGAACCAATCATCACCCCCGAGAAAATTCTGAGTCACAGAGTTCGCGATCCTCGAGGAGCCCGAAGGATCGAGTTCCTGATCCGCTGGAAAGACTGTACACCCACTGTGAAAGTAAGCAGTAGAAGAAGGCGCCATAGCTAGGAAAGCCCTAGCTAAGCAAGAAACAGTTTAGGCAAAGAAGGAGGAGTTGCACTAGCAAGAATGAGGATACAAATAGCAAACCCTAGAAGGGTTGTATTCGCTATAGAGCACCCCACTACAGGCTAGAGCATAATATTTTGACACCCAACGAAGACAACTGGGTTCCCCTGGATAGAATCGAAAACCACCGAGTATCGCGCTGCCGAAACTTCAGGGATGTACACGCACTTTCGTAAGGAGGACCTCCTTAGGGGGGGGGGTAGTGTAAGGAAAAATCCTTTTCCTTACTTCGCGTCCCCGCTCAGCGCGTACATCACTGTAGCACCACAGTCAGCACCGTTACCACTCGCAACTCTCGCATCGACAATCTTCCCGCCACCTTCGCACGTCGCACCCCGACCTCACGGCTCGGCGGGTAACCTGCGCTCCGGGCCTCCGCTTCGACACTTTTCTCAACCTCAGTCCCAGGCCCGTCACGCGACAACCACAGTCAATTACCGTTACCACTGTAGTTTCGCTATATAGTCTTCGCTCATGCCTTCGCTCATTTGTACTTTTGCTTCGATAGTACAATTCTCGCTCGCTCACTCAATTGCACTCGTAACACCTACGCACAATCAGGAGCAGCGTCTACAGTGTTGTCAGGTAGCGCCACTGTGCATATGGCCAAAACCCTAATGTCGACAGGCACACCATGCACCAAGCGCCAAAACAGAACATTCGAAATGATCTGTTGACTTTGTCCTACACGGTGGCCAGAGATAGCACATCGGAAACACACAAGAAACAGACAATTTCGAACACAGGTTCAAAACACAAACATAATCGCTACGTTCACATGATGCCAGGGTTGAGCCACTCCGGGTTGCCTTGTGAAGGGGGCGCTTAAGCTGTTCTTGTATTTCGCATAATTTTCGTCAATTCGCGACTAGCAAAAAAGGATTCGTCAGGTGCTCATAAAATAATTTGAACTTACCCGTTGACATTTTGACTTCGGTCTTTTCGTTACTATTGGTGCAGAACCACGTGACGTGCTTGTAACGTGCGTACAACTGGCGGGGGAAAAAAACACGGGTGCAGAGCAGGGCTGACTATTAAAAAAAATCCAGTCTGATGTTCTGGGGGCTCTAAAAAATTTTAGTCTGAGCCATATTTCCCAGAGAATGGCTACTCTGATTTTTCAGGTTCCGCAAAAACACAAGTCTGAAGATTGTGAAAGCTTGCTTAGTCCATCTTGCAAAGGCAGCGTGCTTCATTCCAAGTGGGCAAGTACAACGTTCTCGTTCATCAATGATACACAATGGGGTGGGTGGTGGGAAAGTAAAACTAGAAAATGGAAATGAAGAACATGGGTGGAGCTACTGGAATCACGTTCCTCTTTTGTACTCAAAAGAGGTCTGAGTAGCGTCGAGCCACTACCTTTGCTTTGCTGGCCACGTCCTCGCTTTCACAATACGAAATTTGAAAAAGTGTTACACTTTTACAAATTATAATTTCTCAGAATACACTACAACCACTGCAACACGGCACTGCCACGAATGTAGCACGTGGGGCGCAGCGCTAACCAACTTTGCTGCGCCAGCACAGAGTTTCCCTCGCTGACACCGCGTAGCTGCAGTGATGGTCCTGCGTGAGTGAAAGAGCGAGCCAAGTTGGCAGATTACAAAGGGAAAAGGGTGGCAAAAGTTGCCAAGGACAGATTCTGCGCGTGACAGCGCCATGAAGTGTGTTCATACACTGGCAACATATGATGTAGCGGAATG